AGCCCATAGAAAAAAGTTCCTCCCAATTTTGCATCTGATGGACACCAGAGCAGATTTTCGCTGGGACTTTTCACTTATTTAAATATAGACACACACCATTTAGTGCTGGGGCCACATAAGCAGCTGAAGTGTACACATTTTTTTATTGCAGCTGCACCCGTTTACAATTCGGGCAGGTAAGTTTGCGAATTAAGTTAGACGATTCAAGTCTTCTGCCTCTTTACTTCGCGACCTACACCGAGGTCCGCATAAGCCGGTAATAACAGAACATAAAGGAAGGTTGCAAACAGACTGGCGGAGAACCTGAATTTGTTTCGTGCGTTTCTATTTATCACAGCGGGGGGAATCGTCAAAAGTCCAGTTCGGGGTTTTTGTTCAAGAAGTTGCCCTTAGTCTTTGGTTGGTTCCTTCTGGTGGGGAAATGACCGTTTAGTGGACTGTCTCTATCAATGCATTGACTGTTGGGATTATTCCCCAGCCCATCTATTGGTGATTTGTCTCCGTTGGCGGGACTCTGAAGGAAGGGTTTTCTGTTGGAACCTACGAAAGCTAAAATTAGAAGAAATTTCAAATATTACAGTGCATAGCGTTTCTTACTGCTACACGACATAGATAAAACAGACTAGCGGTGAAAATTACGTTGTGAAAAGTCTCGGTAGCATTAGAGAGGCTTCACTCTAGTTCACACGTTAGTAATTGACACCATCTTACTTGAAAGCTTGAAATACTTGCTTACCGTAGTCGTATTTGTAGCTCGCTTAGAGATTTTTAGCCTGGGCAATCACCCCTGATGAGTACGCATCATGTTTTGCGTCACGACGTTGACCGGTATGACGCTGTTAGGCTAACACATTAGTAACATCGCCCTTGTGCGATATTGCAGTCCTGGGAAGGGAGTTTAACTGGTGAATGTCCCTTTTAAATACGTTCTCTGAGCAGTCAGAAAGACTTGTTTTGGGAAAAGGTCAAATATTTTATCTGAGCTTGTGGTCCTTTTTGATCAAGACCATTCCTTCCGTTAGAGGACCATGACCAAACAACAATCGTCGGGCAGCCTTTGGGAGGCTGGAAATGCAATTTTAGTTGCTCACAGGTCCTCCTTACTAAAGCGCTATTAGTCCACGTTCCGTGGGAACTTCGTGAAAGATACTCTAACGGTATAGCAACTGTATGCGGAAAGTTCTGTCATACCAACTTTTTGAACAAGGATTGTTCCCTAATTTTGGCGGATATGCCTTGGAAAGCTCGCCGCGTGAGACCGATTCATCGACAGGGAACTGCACTGAAATGTGGCCAGATTTCCGCAATTTTGTAGAAGGGCAAACCCCATGCATCGAGTCAAGGATTCTATTCCGTTCACCGAATAATTTGAGGGAATTGAGACGCTTAGTATTGAACATGAAATAGGGCAAAACATTTTACTATTATTTGACCTAGATACATTAAAAAAGTACTGGTTCCTAAAAGTACGAATTTGGGCGAAATTTTCGTTACCCCTCAGTCCCGCCTATCTGGAACCAGGACCAGCCCACTCGGTATTCGAATGTGCCGAGCCTCCTTAGTCAGGTTACGCTCTCTTGTTTATTGCGCCCTCGAGGGTACAGAGATGCCTGGGACAATCTTTTCCCGGAAAGACCGACACATGCAGTGACCTCTATACAAGTGACGCTTTGAAGTTACACCATACTTCTGACGTGGACAAAAGGCTTTTGTGTGTCTTCACATCTCGGTTGCCCAGACTGTTGGTAACCCTTTCGATTTTCATCGAGAACCCGGCCAGCCTCCAGTAGTCCGATGCAAAAAGTTGGCGTCTCGACCTTCTTACGGAGTTAATGGTACATCTTGCGAGGTGTGCGTACGCATGTCAGACCAAATAAGTCTTGCCAAGAAGATAAGTGGAAGGAACTTGTATAGAAATTCTAGAAGCAACTTAAAAAGCATTTAGTTGACCCAGTTATGAAAAAACTCGGGGTATTGGTGACTTCGATTCGAGCGGTAAAGTTGGGTGGGTAAAATCAGTCCGAGTGGGATTAAATTCACGGCGCAAGGCGTGGCTTTTGTAGCTCAAGTGGTAGAGCGTTGGCTGCGCAAAGGCCTTCCCTGCTATGCGGGTTTGACTCACGCCAAACGCCGGGAGTTTTTTTCACAATTGGGTCAACTAAACTAAGCAAATCTGCCAGACCCCCTAAATTATTAAAAAGCATCATCATGAAGCAATTAGGCCAGGGGCTTCATTTACACACCGTAGCCACGCAGGCTAAACAATAGGTTGTTTTTCCCCTCACACGGTTGGGTGAAGAACGGTTACAAGTACCACCCTTGTGCAAAATTCCAGGGGGTATGGGTCAGGGTTGGGAGGATCAGCGTTAGGATACGGAAAAAAGTGTTCCCCAATCGAATTTAGCTTAGAGCTACATTTAATACGAGAGGAGTGCCGATACCCGCGTTCATCTCATATGTCTCCTGGCTTAACAAGGCATGTTTTTGCTAAACTTTGAAAGAATGCCGGCGTTGATTCAGGACACTGCTCATGGGATAGGAATTTAGAAGGAATAGTCTGGGAAGGCCTAATCAATAGAAGCCTGCTAACTTGTGGGGTAAATTAGGGGCACTGAGACTCGCAACGTTCGCAATTATACGCCTTTGAGTAGTAAAGTAAATGCGGGATCGGTGTGACCCAAAGACGTTGGGACAAACTTTAGATTCTCAGACTTGGCAGAATTTTGCTTGGTGACTTTTCTTAGCGCATTTGGACTAAGCTTGTACCGACAGAGGATTCTCGATTCAGAAGGTAGTTTCCATTGGTGTCCCTTTTCTCCGAATGATCATTCGCGTTCGGACGTTCAAGTAGACACTTTTTCATGCAGAATGTAAGTTAGTTGAGATAAAATAATGCCCTAACCTGCATCAAGAAGGAGTTGTTCCTTCCGCTTATTGGCAAAGTAGTTGGTATGGTTGTGAGCTCGGCTAGCCAGCTTTGCGTAAAGTCGGGCCTCTTCTTCCTTCTCTACAGTCAAGTCTCGCGCACATGGCAGTTTGCCCGGTGAGTTGTGCAGGGAAGTGCTGGAGCGATGGAGCCCGGCTCGCCCACCGAACTCGTCTGCGTTAGCGGTGGATGCCAGAGGCAGTGTGGTCCTTTCAACGGTGAGCGCAGGCAGTATCCATTCGCCGGTATCTTCGTCATAGCTAATACCAAAGATCAGAAGAAAGATATCTAGTTCAGCCTTAGGACTGTTGAGGAGTACAGCAGCAGACTCAGCACATTAACTATGCACAGATTCATGAAACATTTCATATGACTCGGAAGCCGACCGAAATGGTTTGGCTAAGACCCACCCTTAAAGGTTAAGCACCTTAAGTTAAATAAAAACACCGAAAACGTCGAAGGTAACATTGCGCTGATTGGGAAAAATTTTTTTATGAAGCGCAGAAATGAGTAAAAGGCTAAAATTCGAGTCGGATGCAAAAACATTATTTAATTGAGCATGCAGTTCACCTACGAGACAATTGTCCATATTTGAGACAATCTGAAATGCAGGATGGTGTACCCAACGCGTCGACCATGGACTTCCGTCCTCATGTGACTCACAGGTATTCGCACGCCTGCCTTTGATCACCCAGCCGAAAAGTTACAGGCATCTGCGAGTGGTCGACCCTTTACGGTTAGACTGAGCATTAGCGTTGAACCGTTCAGACACTCGCAGCTTGCTTTGCATCTATGTAGGCCGAGAGTTGCTGAGTCAGAAATTCAAGCGTACCTGTGCAGTAGTGTATCTACTACTGTCTGCCTTCTAACAGGAACTTGACCTAGATGTCGCAACAGGTAGAATGTGCCGATCACTTAATGTACTGTGTTGTTGCTGAAGATTCAGACTAAATACTGACACTTTTTCAAGAATATGAATACTGAAAAGGCGGCATTTTCAACTTGATTTTGCAAAAAAAAACAAACAAAACATATGGTAGAGGTCACTCGCCGACCGCATTACTGGATCTACTCATCTCCTTGTGTTTAGGAGTTCAATCACAGTGCCATAGGCAGTCAGACAGTGACTGCTTATGTATACAGCGAACACAAAAAACGACTACTCAGCATGCCTAAGAAGATCGCTATAAGTCGTGCTGTTGCGTCAGCTTAAGTTATTAGGGAAAACTTAACTGATGCAACATTCTGGTCCAATTCCGTGTTGTTATAATGTTGCTACGAACCTACATGTCCCCGTCAAAGTGAGCCTTGTTTGAATCCCTAATGCGAATAAAATAGTAAGAGCACAAACGAGGGCGTCCCTTAGCATACTTAGTACGGAATATTTAAGGCAAGCAAAGCATTACAAGATCGGACCAATCAGATTGTATCCTTAAGTGAGTAGCGACTCGATTGGCTTTGTGACTTATCCGGCTGGCGTGCTAGAGTCCTAAGCTTGGCCGCAGCTTGCCCGGCATTACCAAGGTAGCGTGGCGTGAGAGAGACTCACCAGGACTGCATGCGAGCCAGTCGATTAGGATAGGTCCTAACACGTGTACTAAAAAAGTGCGACGCCAGTTGGGAGGACGGTATATTCTGTACTGAACTGTTGGAGGAAATTGACAGTCGGACGAGGGCACGCCCGAATCCGCCGGGGGGGAGGGGCGTCCGAAGTGTGAGACTGCTGGGCTTAACACAGCGGCTTTAGGAAGGTCATGTGCGAGTCAGCCCTGAAGGTGATTAGCCGGGACTGGCCAAGAATCAAACAGCTATGGGTTCGCAGGTGCAGGTAGTCAGAAGAGGTTCAACGTTGCGAAATTTGCCCAAATTTGGGTCGATATAGTGTCACAATGGCAGGTAGAAAGTCACCCACCGGCATGATCCCACAAAACTCAAAGCGGTCTGTAATCATGATGTTAAACTACAATTCTCGTTGTTAGCAAACAAAATACAATATTTTGTACTGCTCTTCAACAGAAATAGAGATTTAGGAGGAAATAACGTACAATGCTTGCTTCTTGATTTTGTCGATATTTGCGTAATTACTGTCCCGCCGAATGCACGGTTGCGTACGGTCCAAAATTGCCTGAAGGAGGCTAATTTGGCGACTCTGCTTGCGAATAGCCTCCAGGTAATCCTCTCGCTCGCGCTCAAATTCGCATTGCAGATCGCGTATTTCCGTGTCCAAGGCCTGGTTCTGTATCGAAGCGAGATGAAAATGCAGGTAAAGAATTCGAGTGTGGAAAAAGTATGTTTAAAAATTATTCTTTGTCAAACCTGTACAATAATGTTGCGAGGGCGCAGCAAAATCGAAAACAGTTATTGAGTAGCTCCGCAAAAATACCAAAAATACCAATTCATCGTCAGACTGGTACATTGAAACGAAGGATGAAACGGTCAATTATGCATTGTGTTTATATGGTACAGGTTCCATGCAATGGCCAGCTATACAGGCAAGTAGATGGAGTGGCGGTGGACTCACCACTCGGACCATTCCTCGCAAATTTCTTCATGGGCAAGCTCGAGGAAACGAACCTCAAAGACACTCAAAGACGACCGATATTGATGGCCTAGTGCAAAAGCTTATCACGGTCCACACAGCACTAGAGTTTACTGTGGAAATCGAGGCGAACAACAGAATCACGTTCCTAGATATCCTCTTACACAGACAAGGGGATGGTTCAATACAACGCCGGATACTCAGAAAGAAAACCTGGGCGGGGCAAACATTAATTGTCACAGTTTTGTTCCCCTTAATCTCAAAAGAAACTTAGTCCAGGGATTGAAAGTCAGACGAGTCTGCTCTCCAAAAATAGTTGAAGTAGAGCTGCAGCAAGTAAAAAACATACTTCGCGAAAATGGTTATCCAAAAAGGTTCATTATCCCGAACATCAAATAGCGTGTCACAAAGCCTGCCATTGCAGCGGCAGAAAAAAATCTATTCATAAGACTAGCTTTTCTAGGAGACGCAGCACACGAACTAGTAAGACGACGTCTAAGGACAGCATTCACGAGTGGGTTCCCGGCAGCGAACTTACGCCAATTCTTCACAAACTCTCTCCTGCTACAGATGGGGAGGGGGGGGGCAAATACCGACAACCGTAACAGGCATTTATTTCCCCCCCTACTCCTCTGAAGTGGGATGTATCGGCCGAAGGAGACGCCTTAAGAAGAAGGTACGCGAACACATAACAGCCTGGCCAGGCAATAGTGAAAATCGATCGATTTCAAGTTCAATCCTCGCACACTTAGTTGACACCAATCACCAAGTTGACGTGATCAGATACCGGGCACCAAAACACTACTCTAAAGGCCTACCCAAATGGGTAATAGCCATAGCCGAAGCAGTGGAAGTCCGTTTAGCAAAGTCCGGTAACAGAACAATAAAAATTGATCCGGTGCTCGACACGTCTTCCTTATCCATACTTATCGGCGAATGGGTATGACTCGTCACCGTAAGACAACTTGAGAGGATGTGGGTACTAACAGGCAGGGCTTAACTTCAGTCAGTATAGTTGGAGTAAATAACAAGGGACCCTAAAAACTCAATTAAAAGGTTACAAGTATGCATAAAAAGTAGCTGGGTTGCACAAAAATTGTTGCATGTCGTATAAGTATCCAAAGTGCATTCAAATAATGACGAAATATGAATGGTAAGAAGGTGAAACAGTTGCGAAGCAACAGCGTACAGCACGTTCAGCGCTTTTGCATAATGACATTTTCACCTGAGTCAACTTAAACGATCTATTGAAATTAAGGGAGTGGTTTGATTGTAGTTATCTCTGTAATATGTTAAGTAAGGCTTGCATAGGATATATTCATCTTTTTTCCTTCCAGAGGAGACTTCATCCGTACTGCGGAGGTTTTTTTGGAGGTTAAGGTACTCTTCACTTTATGGAATTCGAGAACAATCTCTATTGCCGTTTTAGGTCTAAACGTGGTCTAAACAGATGTGTGATGCATTACATTAAGTATTTGGCTGCGATGGCTACTGCACCTAAGTTCACTGCAATTTGGCTTGGACTACATCAGCTATTCGTGTACCAAGGAAAAGAGATCGAGAGAATGTGATCGGCCCTACACTAATCCAGAATAATGGGCCCTCAAAATGAACAATCTGACTCAAGAAAAAGTTCCTACCTTCGAAAAAAGTTGGGATTCGGAAGGCTACGAATTTGGTCCCTCCCGGGCTGACAGACAAAGGTAAAGTCCTAATTCCTAATGTGGTCTTCATGATAACCCTCTTCATCGAGAGGTAAGAGAGTTCAGCGAATGCCCATGAACCCGTGTTAAGGCGAATCCAGATTTCCTAAAGGCGGCTTCTTACACTTTACGAAGCTAATCCACTGACCTCGTCGTAGACAATCGTACATTCTATGCAGTCTGTCGTATGAATTAAGCAGCTTTAAAGGATCGAACACGCGTATGCGCACCTGTGCTGTAATCGATGAGACTACCAAGTGATGCACAGTATTAAGGACTCAGCATGGTCGAAAGTAAAAACCCTTTCCAACTACGGGAATATTGCAGTCCACTGCGGTAATTATGGCCACTAGAGAGTGTTGAACGATATCTAGGTGATTCGGCATCACTGCTACCGGAACTCAGAGCCAACTTATATTGCCCGTTTACCATAGGCTTTTTGCATGCTTGTAGTCAAAAGGTAAAAGAGTATGCAGAGCTATCTGCTGTAGACCGGAATGGACAGTAACAAACTCGATCATAACGGTTTCCAAAGTAGGATTCAAGGCAGAAGTTGAGAAAGATCGTAACAAATAAGCGAAGTTACCAAAGCTATTTAATAACTGCTTTAGATCTGTCATTGGCTGGCAAGAATTATTCCGACTACTGCTGGACTGCGAGGGCACATTATTCGGCGGGAGGTGGAGCTCACTGAAAAGAGTGGGAGAATGGTGAACAAGAATAAGTATTAGCAACGAAGCTCGAAAGTTAATTGAAATGTATCCGACAACAAATGTGAACATTCGGGCGCCCATGCACGACCCAGATCATTGTGTAGCCTTATGTCGGGCCCAACTGAAGTTCAGTCGCTACGCTAGGGCTAATGCACGATGTCGTTGCAAGCCCATTGGCCTTTTTGGTAAACATTAAATGGCATTCGTCGATGAACGTTCACCTGAGCGCTAGCGGCACTCATATGTCCCGCTCTGTCCTGGGTCTCGCAAGAGGCCCTGACTGCGGCTGTAGCAGCTTGTAGTATAGGCAGATAGTATTGCTGGCAAAGACATAGGAGATTGGAATGACCATTTCTGCCTTATTAGAAGTCGTCAGCCAGTCAGATCTAGCCCAAAGTGATGCACCACCCGAGGCTCGAACTCAACACTTTTTTGATCAGAGACTAACGCCCTAACCACTGAGTCACGAGCTCGTTGTATTGCCGGTTTAGGTCGGGAGATATTGACACTCGTTGATTAAAATCCACTAACCGCTAACGGAACTCAATTCTCCCGCTCTGCCTTGGGCCTCATTTCTCAGGCCCTGACAGCAGCCGTAGCAGTTCGTCTTATAGGCAGATAGTATTGCCGGCAAAGAAAAGGTAGAATGGAATGGCTAGTTCCGGCTTATTAGCCGTCGTCAGCCAGTCGGGTGATGCACCACTTCGGACTAAATGTAACGCATTAGCTTGGGGTGTTATTGGCCTATGTTGACGGATAAAGCACAAACCGTCATTTGAGTGTGTTGGCTTTAGCCGTGACATACCTCGATTAAAAAATCGCCTTCGGGATTTTTATTTTTATCAAAATTTAGTCAAGAATTTAGATGTTTTGCTAATCCGGCTGGGCGCTTAAAGAACCGCGATTTAATTTTGAGGGGAGGGCAGGTGGAACTTTATGAACTTTTCACATAGGACACCGAATCGAAACTGCAACCGCTTCAGCTATCCTATCAAGCCAAGCTAGCCCTTTTAGCCGACTTCTTAATTTTGCTTGGTTGGTCGAGCAGACGCTTGGGAATATAAATACACGGTTCTGCTTCGCCCTTACGCGCACTTATCCAAATTCCTGGGAATGTTTCATATGACATACTTGACTGGCACCATTTGAAAATATTCGGTGTATGGACAAGGTTTCCGCTGCAAAAAATAGCAGTGAGGGCGAGAGCACTTATCTCAGGCAACTATGCCCATACTGGACACAGATTTGCATGGGAGAAATTCCGCACGGTTGGCGCCTGGCCAAAAAAGAAAGGACGACATTTCCTGAAGGCGATGCAAACACACCAGGCATGCATTACTCGGTATATCGATGTAGATGCCGCTTACAGATGCCTCAATGCCAGGTGTAAACGAACAGAGTCACCATCAACGGAATAGCTGAATGTAGCGGATGGTTTTTGGTTTACTCTTTGACCACCCAGTGAATCTTGTATTGGGTATTGTTTGAAGTGCGCATTTTAACACTTTGACTGCGACTCTCAAAATAGCCTGTATGCCCCTGGGGCGGCGTTTTCAAACCTGCATTACTTTAGGCCTAGACGTGTACCATATATGGCGCACGTCGCAGTTTGGGACATCATTGCATGTACCACATATGGCGCACGTCGCAGTCAAAGTGTTAAAGGTACATTTTGCACACCTCTTATTTGCCTGAAGACTCGAAACCTTCATACTTTACTAATAATTAGAAAGTTATGGAAATAAGTCTTCTTATTTTTCAGAAAAACAGGTGATATTCGGGAATGGAAGAACCGTATGGACACTTACGTGTCGATTTGACCCATTTCGCTAATGCATGATTAAAGGGAGAAGCTGTCAAACTCTATCTTCTTATACAGGGGCCTAGGTGTTTTTTGGTGTTTTGGTGTTTTTGGTGCTTTTTTTGACTATGCTGACGGATAAATCAGAAACTGTTATTACGGCATATCGTCTTTATTCATAACATACCTCAATTAAAATATCTACTTCATGTTTATTATTTTAGTTAAAACTTAGTCACCAATTTAGATGTTTTCTCCACTCCGCCTGGACGCTCAGCGAACTCGGGTTTAGTTTTGACCGAAGGGCAGGCGGAACGTCATGCAATTTTCACCTAGGATTAATTATCGCAAGCTATTGCCCACAACGACAAAATGGGTCATGAGTTCAACTTCACAGCCGTCAAGATACTTGACCGCGCCGGAAACAACACGAGCCAAGAAGTGAGTGAAGCCTAGTCCAGAGATGGTAACTCAATTAATCTATGTATCGATTTGACGCCGGCGCACAGGGCTGTGCGCAGTCAACTACATACATGCGTCACTGACAAATGATTGGTTT